AAACTATTTTTATCTAGGCTGACTTGCTAAAGAAATAAGAATAAGCCAGGGGAGGTTTGTAGAATTATACATACATATATGCTGCAGTGATAGCGATTTGGTTTTAACAGATTGGTCAAGACTCAACATTTTAGTTTTAACTAGTTGGGCTGTAAGTAAGGTTTTTATTCATTTATTGTTTATTTATTAATTTTGTCAGAGTTTGGGCAGGAAAAGGAATTTTATTTCACCAAAACGGTAGAGTTTGACTTTTAAAAAACTTCTTCAATGAAACGTGCGTTTCATTAAACAAAACTAAAGGACGTCGTCGTTTGTGACAAAGAAAATTAGGGTATAGAGTTATCTTCTTCCTTCTTGAATCATCGCCTCAGCCTCCATTAGAGACACCTCTGCAACACATCGTGCACCTCGCATCCCCTTGAACCATGCTAGTATGTGTAACTTGCCAAACGATTGGCTCCTTGAGGCGATTTCCAGACCCTTTACATAACGCTTTAAAACCTTGGGCGCTAGCGCAGAGGGGCAAATCTAGCACCTCCATGGTTGTTTTCTGACGAAGGGAGGTGCAGGTGCACCTCCTTGCGCCTCTGTAGGTCCGCCACGTCTTGCTATAATTGTGTTTATTGCTTGTATCTTTCTATTATTTGCATTGCAAGAGCCCTTTATGTTATCTTGTATTGCCCTTTCATTCAAGAAATTGTTGCTTGTATAATAAATAATAATAAAAACTAGCCGTTTCCTTTGACTAATTAATGGGAAAAACAAATATCAATCTCATAATTTCTCAAAATTACGTACCTGAATAACTATTGTATGCTGCTAGAATGTAGTGATAATAGTTCAAGTGTCATAATGATAATATAGGTGTATGACATTTTATACTTTAGGAAACAATATTAATAAATATACACATGTTATAATATGAATAAATTGGTTGAAACTTGAAGAAAGACAAAAGAAAAGCCTAATCTTATAATAAGCTTAATGCCCCGATAACCAAAACCAAATTAGTTTAACTAATTAAACAAGTGCAAGTTCTGATAAATAAATATATACAAAAATTGCAAGATTTAAAAATTTGGATTACTTACCAGAATGATTCCCTTGATTATATCGTCAGTGTAGAATTGGGGCTCTGTTTCTTGCAACGCCAATAAGTTATCAATCATCAACTTCTTGACCTCTTTTCCATTCGATCCACACTTCGTGGACAAAATTTCACGACGCTCTTCAACCAAGCCCTGCAAAAATCTGTCCATCTTTGCCATCAATCTCACCATCTTCTTCTCAATCCCCGTTATATCAATCCACTGTAAGAATGGGAAAAAGTCACCCAAATTTGCTGCCCCAGATATGTCCATTCCATCCCTAATAACCTTCTGTATATTCTTAGCTTCTTCAACATCCAAAACATTTTCACCGTAGAACCTCTTTCCCACAACCATCATCGTCATCACGTTAAATGAAAGCTCCGTAAATTTTGACTTGAGCTCGATCTTTGTCTTTCTCTCAGTACAACTTTTCTTCATTATCTCATTCAGTAGCAAACGAACTTCTCCTTGTCTGATACTCGAAAACTGGGCAAGGCGAGAAGCGGAGAAGAGCTCAAGGGTCATTGTGCGGCGGAGGTTGCGCCAGAGGTCTCCATAGGGAGCTAAACTGACAGTTGTGAAGTCGTAGGCTAAGTGTTTTCCGATAAGCAAGCGTGGGCGGTTGGCGAAGATGATGTCGTGCTTTGTGAAAAGCTCTTCTGCTAGCGAAGGTGAAGAAACCAAGAGGACTCTGCGTGAACCCCAGCGGAGTAGCAGAAGTTTACCAAATTTTCCTGAAAGAGCTTGGAGAGTTCGGTGGATTGGTTGTTTTAGAAGATGGAGATGGCCAATGATGGGAAGAGATGGTGGGCTCGGTGGAAAGTTGTTGTGTTTTTGGGTAATTTTAGCTATGGAGAGCTTGAGAAGCAAGGTGAAGATGATGATAAGAGCTAAACTGTACCAGAAGGGTTCTTCCATTATTTTGGCTCTTTTTTGGTCAATGTGAAATGGTGTAGCTAATGAACTTGCATATTCTATTAGACATCCGTAAATAGGGGCCTTTTCCAATGCGAACTCTAAGATGCGGATTGGTTGCGAACTTTTGTTTTTAACCGTTGGAAGAAGAGCGAAAAGAAAGAAAATAAAGCCACACAAGCCATCCAACGGTTAAAAACAAAAGTTCACAACCAATCCGCATCTTAGAATTCGCATTGGAGAAGGCCCCGTAAATATGGTGCATCTTGGAATTGTTTGCAAAAATAAGGAAAAGGCCAAAAGCATTGATAGTAAAAGTCAACCCTCAAACTTTCTTGCTGTGAGTTTAGGATGAAGACGAAAGATTCCAGCTCTGTAACCAAATTAAAAAATGGACCAATAATAATAAACATAAACCAATAAGCTATATTTTTTTGGGAGCTCCCAATCCCATTTTATCCGCTTATACTCTCTTTTACTTTTTAATACATTTTAATTAACATTATTCTTTTTTGTTCTTTATCTTTCCAATACCACCCTTATCCTACATTAAGGTTTTCATAACTGAAATTAAGAAAATTTAACATAAAATAAAGCAAAAACAAACATAAAAATTTGAAATGGATAGAAATGTAAGTATTTGTATGCCAAATTCTTTTATTTTTTTTACTAAGTATGTGAGTACTAATTATCTTTGTTATAGTTAATAGATAATCTGTTATTGGGTCTAGTCCTCGCATTTTTTGTTTTAGATGTAGGTCCTTTAACATTTACTACTTTTTTGTTGTGTCGATTTTACCCTTTAAGGTAAATAAGGAAAACACATTGAAAATTTAAATTTAATGCATTATTTCCTTGTAATTGAATTCCAGAATTTGAATTTTGAAATTTTTTCCTTGATAATATTCCTAATATATAGATAAAATACAATTTAATCAATAAAAAGTAAAGACTCACATATTATACCAATCGATCAGACAAGCACCCACATTAAATTATGTACCTGACATACAAGTAAATAATGTTAATACATACAGGTAAGTGTTTTTTTCTTGAGTTTTCTTAAGCATTTTTTTTCTGGAGATTCATATTTATATACATACGTACATGTCTTCCATGTAATAGGGGTTTTTTTTTTCAAAGAAATTTTGTATGGATTTTTATCTCAGTTATCCATACCAAGATATTATATGAGTTCAATTTACTTTATTTATGTTTTGGGTGCATAACTGGAACAAAAAATAAAAAATAAAAAAAAGTAAATATCAATAAATTGAAAAAGGCATGTAATCTTATGTGGCGCAAAAGTCAAAGGACTTGGATCAACAACAATTTCTGCGTGGATTGCACCTAAAATCTCTCCTCATAATTGGACTTATGCCAAATTTTCTATAATAATTATCCGAAATTGACATGACACGTTTATAAATGAGTTGGATTAGAGTTGAGCATTCTTGATACATTTATTATTCCAACACGGCATAATCCATTGACATCCCTAGATATGATGTAGACGTCCATACTTCATTGTCTAAAAATAATATCCTTCAAAGTCGACCAGCCCTCGTGAAATACGGCAAATTGAACCTTTTTAGCAATCAAAAGTCCACTAATTACAAAAAAGGATGCGTGATTACTTTTTTAAAGTGTCCACTAATCACTATTTAATTGTAGATATTGCCGGTAGCTGGGACTGATACGACATCAACTACCCTAGAATGGGCAATGGCGTTGTTGGTAAACCATCCAGAGGTAATGGAGAAAGTAAGAGCCGAAATAGACACCAATGTTGCGGAAGAGCGAGACTTGCCAAAGCTGACTTGCAAAATGTGATGAATGAGACACAGCGCCTGTACCCACCTGTCCCGCTTCTAGTGCCCCATGAAGCTTCTGAGGATTGTGTGGTTGGGGGATTTGATGTGCCACATCATACAATGATGGTGATCAATTCTTGGGCCATCCATAGGGACCCTGAGGTGTGGGAGGACCGCACAGAGTTTAGGCCAGAGAGGTTTGAAGGATGGAGTGATGGTCAGGGCTGAAGGATATAAGTTGATTCCATTTTGGGGTGGGAGGCGTGGATGTTCAGGGGATGTCCTGGCCAACCGGTTGACTGGATTGGCACTTGGAACTTTGATTCATTCATTTGAGTGGGAGAGGATAGGTGAGGACATGGTGGACCTCAATGAAGGCTTGGGCCTTTCCATGCCAAGGTCTAAGCCTTGGAGGCAATGTGTAAAAATTGGACCTGGAATTCCAAGGCCCATAAGGTAAGGGGGTATAGCGGTCAAAAGTTCAGAGGGGTATGGTTAAGTTCACCCCCTCCCTCCTCCCTCCTCCTCCCCCTCCCCCTCCTCATCTTTAATTCAGAAAGAACCATTTTATTTGGTGATCTTGTTTATAACATGATTTCACGAGGTGGTCTTTAAAAGATCTCTTGTACTGGGTTGGCTGGTTAAAACTTAAAACCAGATCTGCATAATATAGATTAAGATACCCTTCCCATTTTTTAAATGTTTAATATTTTTAATAGATTCCTCATGTTCTTTTTCCTGAAAACATTTTCAAAGCAGCCTCTACCGAGTCACCTCTTTAACCATTCGGTGGCTTCAGGCCGAACACCTGTTTAACGTTTGGTGGCTTTTGCTTACATTTGATTAGAATTTGATATGATGAGTAAGGTGCACTTATTAAAATTACATTTATTTAACAATTCAATATATATTTTTTAGTCATTTTATATTTGGATAAATTAATAATTCAATAAATAGTTTGGTAATAGAGTACCCTCAGTTAATTTTAGGGTTCGTTTAGATTAATCAAATGGCTATTTAACATCCGCACTCATAACGTTGGTTTAATCTGAACAAAGGCTTTTTCGAGGAAATAGGCCAAATGTACTTCATGTGTTTTGTTTTTTAGCTTCTTTTTATTCATTTTTTTTCTTTTACATCAATGTCTACCTACGTAGAAGGCGGAGGTTCTTTATGAAGTTTGTAGAGATGAAGTCAAACTTTCTTTATTTTTAGGATGAGTACAAAAGTTTCTTAGTGAGACCAACATTGACACAAGAGGACCAAGAATACTGATCATAAAGCAAAATATTGCACATTTGATCATAGAGGATCAATCAATCAATCAATCAAAGGAATGGGAGAACCCTTCTGGTACACTTTAGCTCTCATCATCACCTTCACCTCCATCTTGCTTCTCCATTTCACCGTAGCTAAAATTAGACAAAATCACAATAAGAACCTTCCCCCCTCCCCACCGTCTCTCCCGATTATTGGCCATCTCCATCTTCTGAAAGAACCAATTCACCGCACCCTCCAATCTCTTTCTTCAAACTTGGGCAAAATTCTACTTCTCCGATGGGGTTCACGCAGAGTCCTCTTGATCTCTTCGCCTTCGATCGCCGAAGAATGCTACACGAAGCATGACATCATCCTCTCCAACCGCCCACGCTTGCTTGCCGGGAAACACTTCCACTACAACTTCAAAACCGTCGCCGCCGCACCCTATGGAGACCTCTGGCGCAACCTCCGCCGTGTCATGACTCTCGAGATCTTCTCCTCCTCTCGCCTCGCCACGTCTTCGAGTGTCAGGCAAGCTGAAGTCCGTTTGCTATTGAATCAGATGATGAAGAGCTGTGCTTGCACCCAACAGGGGATGGCAAAGATTGAGCTCAAATCCAAGTTCATGGAGCTTTCGTTCAACGTGATGACGATGATGGTTTTGGGGAAGCGGTACCACGGCGAAGATGTTGAGGATGTTGAAGAGGCTAAGCATTTCCGAGAGGTTATGAGGGACGCCGTTGACCTATCTGCAACGACGAATTTGGGAGACTTTTTGCCAAGTTTACAGTGGATGGATATATCAGGGTTGGAGAAGAAGATGGCGAGGTTGATGGCAAAAATGGACAGCTTCTTGCAGTGTTTGGTTGAGGAGCGCCGTCGAATTTTGTCACCCAATTTGGAAGCAAATGGTAAGGATGACAACATGTTCATGATCGATAACTTGTTGTCGATGCAAGAAACAGAGCCCGAATTCTACACCGACGAAATCATCAAAGGAATCATTTTGGTAACTCACACTTCTTTGTTTTTAGTTTTTGTGTTTTTTTCTTGGACCCGTTAGTTAAATGTGGACTGATAGGTGTTGCTGGTTGCTGGGAGTGACACGTCATCAACAACCCTAGAATGGGCAATGGCGCTGTTGCTAAACCATCCAGAGGAAATGGAGAAAGTGAGAGCTGAGATAGAGGCCAAGGTTGGAGAGAAGCGTGCGTTGGAAGAGCAAGACTTGCCAAAGCTGAGTTATTTGCAAAATGTGATCAATGAGACACTACGCTTGTACCCGCCTTTTCCAATTCTGGTGCCTCGTGAAGCCTCTGAGGATTGTGTGGTGGGGGGATTTGACGTGCCACATCATACAATGCTGGTGGTGAATGCGTGGGCCATCCATAGGGACCCTGAGGTGTGGGAGGACCCCACAAAGTTTAAGCCAGAGAGGTTTGAAAGATGGATTGGTGAAGGAGGGCTTGAAGGAGGATATAGGCTAATCCCATTTGGGGCTGGAAGGCGCGGATGTCCTGGGGCTGGCTTAGCCAACAGGTTGGTTGAACTGGCTCTAGGAAGCTTGGTTCAGTCATTTGAGTGGGAGAGGATTGGGGAGGACCTGGTGGATATGAGTGAAGGCTTGGGTCTTATGATGCCAAGGGTTGAGCCCTTGGAGGCTATGTGTAAACCAAGACTATTCACACTGGCTTCAATGTAAAAACTATACCTGGAATTCCAAAGCCCATTTTGGTTCATTTCCCTCTCTCTGTTATTTTTTTTCTTTGACAAAACGATATTCTAACTAATCTAATGTACCCAAGGGGAATTGAACTCGGTACAATGGGGCGAGCACATTGCACCTTCATACTCATACAGCAATTTTTCATTGAGTAAATGCAGTTGCAGTTGAAGACACTTTTTTTTTTTCCCTTGTTAAAATATGTAGCAAAAACAAATCCACTGCGAGTTATGCAACCACAAAAGATAAGTCAATTAAATGTATGGAAAAATCGTGGCTACTAAAAGAATATTACAATCTCAGGCACTTGGAGGTCAGATTCAGGATTTGTTTCTGGAAGAGAGGAGAGGAGGGGGACTAATGTTAAATTTACACATTGATTTGGCTGGTGTAGAATAGAAACGACAAAATAGATAATATTGAACAAAGAAGTTAATAGGAACTAGTTACTTACTAAGTCTGCAGAAGTTGGCAAAATGAGTGCTTCAACATCTGGTTTTCACATTACTTCCTTGTCAACGATTATGGAGCGGGTCAGAAGCGTTTGGAACTTTCCTCTTGCTTGAAAAGAAGGCCTCAAATGAGTGCCTCAACCGCTGCTGCTGCTGCTGTGGCTGCTTATTCATATCATTCTCATGTTCTTGTTGTTTTTGCTCCACATTATTGGGTACAGATAGTGGCATTGTGTTTTCCCTGTACCCAGAGACCAGCATTGAGAAAAAAACCAACACCATTAACACAAGGTGCTGAAATTGCATATTGCTGAACTTGGGTTGTGGCTTCAGGTTGAAGACAGACAAGAACAAAGCTGAAAGAAAGAAAGAGAAAGAGGAGGGGATTTGAAGGGGGTGGTTTGAAAGGCAGGCAGGCACACACATGGCTTTGTTTGAAAGTGTGTGTGAGAGAGAGAGAGAGAGAGAGAAAGGGAAAAAGGTAATGTGGTGCAATTGAGTACACCCTGCAAACAAGGGACACTTCCCACGAGAACACATTTTTTTGTTTGCTTTTTAAATTATATTCTTTGTGCTTCACGAGAACTCTTTTTCATGTTTTGCTTTTTACACTTAAATTAAATTAAAAATTAATAGAGTAGTATGGAGATGTTGGCTCTTGTGCAAATTTCTTTTGTCCTGGTTGTGCTTGTCGGCTTTGGAAGGAAGAGTAAAGGTTATGCTTCGATAGATAGCCTGCTTAATCTAGGCCTGGAAATATCTGTTGCTTTTAGCCACATTGAAAACAGTGTGAAATCATATGCTTCCAAAGACTAGGACTTTCCTTCTTCATGCAAAAGGTTGTGATACGAATAAGGAACTACACAATAATAATAATACAATCTTTTAAAGTAAGAACCAGACATTTTTGTGCCTTTGCTTAAAGTACACGATTTGAGTGGTCAAATCATGCGTGAGGAGCCCTGAGCCTGAGCGCCTTCCCGATGTGTTTTTTTCTTCTTTCTTTCCTATCTTCTCTTTTTTGAGGCTTCCCAATGAGCCGTGAAGACATGGTATCCATTTATTCATCCAAGCTTTTGAGTGTCCATGCGCCACATTGACTGGTGATTTTTCTGTCTTTGCGCATATCAATCAGCCATGCCATGATGCCATGCATGAAAAGCGTACGTCTTGAAATTCTGGGATAGGACTTTGAAATAAGACTTGTCTACACAGATCATGCTCGATTGGCTCTTGATGACATGGGAAATCCAATATATGATCCAGATATCAAAGAGTGTTTGATACCAATCTACCGGACAAGAATATAAGAGCATAAATTAAACGAGTATACAAATCTACTTGTACCAACAAAACGAGTCATAATCGAAATTGTTCATTTCAAAAATCACAATTTAAATGTCAAGATGAAAACCCTAGCATCCTCCCTCCCAAAAAACACTCTATACTCATTTTCATTTTGAAGAGGAAGGAAGTCATTGTTTTTCCCCCCTCTCCATTTCTCCTTTTCTTAGAGACATAAGGTTTCCTCTATTTGTCTTGATTTTGGAATAATTTTCATTCATTCATCATATATTGATGCATCTCAGCGTCGAAAAAAAGTCATATTTACAAAAATTAAATAAAATTGGATGTTGCTAAATAATATGCACAAATATCAAACAAATCAACATTTTTGGTCGCTATTAAGATCAACCAACTTTCCATTTGTCTGATACACATGAATGACCAAGATATCACCAATTTTTATTATTTTATTTTTTAGATATGACATTTAAATTGTGATTTAGGAAATAATAATTCCAATTATGACATGTCCATGTCTATGTCTATGGTGAAAATTTAATGATCACAACTGCGACTAACAAACGGTTGGATGCACTTAAGTATTTTCCATGTATGCATAAATAGCTGGCCTTCACTTTTAAACTTTATACCAATTTGGTATTTAAATGATCCAATCAAGTTTATTTATTTATTTATTTATAATAAAGTTCAATACCTTAGTTGATTTTGCTTCTGAAATTTGAGTATTAAGTAAAACCAAACTCAAATTAATTTACAATTATAATTAGGTTGGAGAGAAAAAAAATACCCTAGGCGCTCTCTTTCTTTGTCAATCTCAAAGAAAAACTCCATAGAGGGAGTAGAAGGAAGAAGCGCCACTATCCCTCCTCTCCTTCATCACTTCTTACCTTTTTCATTTTGGGGTAGTGAATAAGTCCGCTAGGAGGTTTTGAATAAGAAGCCCTTTGTGGTGATTTCTTCTAAGCCATGCTCATATTTAAGTTCCCCATCACCTCTTTCAAACTATGTTCTCAATCAAATTATTCTCCCAAAAATAGCTATCTAACATTGTTATGTTCTCTAAATTTGGTTTTATATCGTATTTGACGTAGTTTGTTGCAAATCACCAAATTCTTCTTTGTTGGGTTTGTTATTTTGTTTTATTTGCTCTATCTTATGCAAAGGTAGATCATTAGAAACCATGCTTTCCCTATATTTGTTACTATTTTTGTTATCGCTTCAAGATTTTGTTTTTAGTCTTGTTTTTAGTATGTTAGTTTGTTGCTCTTGTGGGATTGGTGTTTTAGATATCATGTTGATATTTGATTATATTGTTGAAGGTTTTCTAATGAAGTTTCTCTTTAATTTTTAATTTTTAATTAAAAAAAAAAAGTAAAACCGAACTCCAAATTTGGTGCTTAAAAGACTTACTGAAGAAATTACTCAGCCCAATAGCTAAATTGAGCCTCCTTTCAAACATCCAGTTTGGGCCAACTGGAAAACGATCTTTTAAATTTAGCCCAATCCAAAACCTAAACTCGGACTTAATTCGGCCCGAATAGTCTGTAATCAGAAGGCGGGCCCAAGCCGAGTAAAAGGCCGCCGGCCGCCGCCACTTAAGAACTGTCTAATAAAGCGCCCAACCGCCCCAGATACGCTCCTATTTATTAACCACCGTTAAAAACGTTACAAATTTTACACATAGGCCCAACGGCCAACGTCTCTCTCTCTCTCTCTCTCTCTGCCTAAGAAGTAAGTAAGAAGTAAGGCGGTGGCTTTAGGCTTCTGGCTCCGCCATAGACACCTGAACCCTAGGGTTTGGAGCTTCAACGTTGACGACGACGATGATATCCCTCACCTCCAACGAATTGAACTACCTAGTCTTCCGTTACCTCCACGAATCAGGTCCGTTCCGTTTGCCTGTTTAACGCTTGCAAAATTAATCGTTTTCTGGCTAGAAATTGCTATGAAACTCTAATTAGTTTCTTAATTTCTTCAGGCTTTACGCATTCAGCTTACGCTTTTGGATACGAGGCCGAGCTTCACAAAAGCACGATTGACGGTAATGTAGTTCCGCCAGGCGCACTTGTTACGTTTATCCAGAAAGGGCTTCAGTATCTTGAGCTGGAAGCAGACTTGAGCAGCAGTGTAAGCAAAGTGTTTAATTTTCTTAATTAATACATGCTTTGAAGTTTGAAAGTTGGAAGCTTGGGCTGATTGATGTGTGTGTTAGGTTTACAGAGTGATGCGGACATGGACGACGACTTTTCGTTTCTGCAACCGTTGGATCTTATCACGAAAGATGCTTATCAATTACAGAAAATGGTCAGGGAGAAGAAGGACAGGATGAACGCAGCTAACCAGAAAAATGAGAGCAAGGAGGAAAGTGAAAGGGAAAATGCTCGAGAAGTAGAAGAGGAGAGAAGAGATAGGGAAAAGGAAGAAGAAGAGGATCGGGAGGACAAGTCGCACAAGGAGAGGGAACAAGAAATTGGTAAAGAGAATGAAGAAACACACGAGGATCACAATGAGATTGAGAAAATGGAACCTGAAGAAAATGGAACTTGTGGAGGTAATATCCCCTCAATTTTGTTTCTGTTTATAAAGACGTTGAACTTTGGCCATATGTTAGCTTCCCAATTGTAAAGTTTAAGTTGTCTGTAAATATGTGAAATAGGGGCGGAACCAATGGAAATAACTCCAAGCTCAATATCCTTGCCTAGTGAAATTCCTAGCTCTGACGTAACAATTCTAGAAGGCCATACCTCAGAGGTTTGGATTGGATATATCCCTGCGTTGTACATTTGCCTCCCATTTTCAATTGGTAGAGTGTGATTGCATGAACTTGTTCCTCCACTTCTGACAGGTTTTTGCTTGTGCATGGAGTCCATCGGGTTCACTTCTTGCATCTGGGTGAGTATATTGTCTTTTATACATGGGCAGATTAGCATCAGGTGGTTTATATTTGTTGTCATCTATCTCACAAAGTAGCTGGAGTTGAGATATTACTCTGTACGATAAAAGGTGTCAGAAACATGGAAGATCATCTTATTTTCACTTGTATTTCCTTGTCTAGGTCTGGAGATTCAACAGCGCGAATTTGGACCATTGCAGATGGAGGTTGTGGATCTGGCATGCAAAATGAACCTGCAAATGTTGCGGTTTTAAAGCATTTCAAAGGTAGAGCCAATGAGAAAAGCAAGGACGTGACCACACTTGATTGGAATGTGAGTCTTTATCACGTTCTGTAGTTGAAAACTCAGACATGACTTTCTCGCATTATGTTTTTGCTAAAGGATTTGCCATTTTGTAGGGTGATGGGACATTGCTTGCAACAGGTTCTTACGATGGCCAAGCAAGAATATGGAGTAGAGATGGTGAGTTATGTTTATATCTGCAACATGTTTGCTTTTGAAGTCTAGTAAGTGATAGATTTTAAACAGCTTGCATTTAGTCCTAGGTTTTTGTTAACACTTACTGTGGGATTTTTATATAGGAGAGTTAAGGACTACATTAATCAAACATAAAGGTCCAATTTTTTCTCTGAAGTGGAACAAGAAAGGTGATTATCTTCTGAGTGGCAGTGTGGATAAAACCGCAATTGTGTGGGACATAAAGAGTGGGGAATGGAAACAGCAGTTTGAATTTCATTCAGGTACTGCATTATTTTAAGGCTGTGTTTGATAAAAATCTAACTTCTGCACCATGTTAAGCAAGCCAAAATTATTTTTCAGCTCCAACCCTGGATGTTGATTGGCGGAACAATGTTTCCTTTGCAACGTGCTCCACTGATACTTTGATACATGTTTGCAAGGTTGGAGAGAACCAACCAATCAAAACTTTCTCAGGGCATCAGGTTTGTTCTATAATCCAACAAACCAATCTTATGATTTCTGCTAGTTTATAGTTACTGCATCATTTTTTGAATTAAACACATGAATTTTTACGATTATATAAAGACATTAGAATTATGCTCTGTCAATTCTCATGTAAATGCTTAATAACTCATGATTTTAATGCTTCCAATCAGGGAACATGTGTAAAAAGTAAAATTTAAAGGTATGAGTGTTGAGAGCTACATATACTTGCGTGTATCGTCAGTGCTTCCCCAAATTACTAGTTGCATGCCCCTGTCCCTTGGACCAGGTTGTAAAGGATGGGTAGAGCAAGCCTTGGGTTTAGATATTGCCTGGCAAAATAAATTGAATAAATTAATAATCTATAATCTTTTTACACTTTCTTCTATCAAGGTCTCGCTAAAATTGATTGTACTGGTATAGATTTCTCGGGTCTGGATTGACATTAAACATCTTCCACCCTTTGCCGCTCTCACAGTATAAAATATATCCAGTTAAATGCTTAGAGGAAAGGAACTCACCAGTTGGTGAATCTCATCAGGAGATTGATACTGCATGATTTTTATTCATCCTTTCTGATTTTATTGTTTCAGGGTGAAGTTAATGCTATTAAGTGGGATCCAACCGGCTCTTTGTTGGCTTCTTGCTCTGATGATTATACTGCGAAGGTGATCTAGACACTTGAGAACGCTTTTCTTTTGAACTTCCAATCAATAATGTTGCACTACATTTTTGTGTCTCCGTAGTACAGAACAGTTTGTTTTATGGGTTTCTCTTTTTTGTGGTTTTCTTGAATGGGCTGAAAACTCAAGTATCTTTTAACACAGATATGGAGTACGAAGCAGGACAAATATTTGCATGATTTGAAGGAACATGTTAAGGTATCTGTGCCTCGTTTCTATTTGTGAGTTTGTTGAAAATATTCCCAGATTGTAAGTTGTGATGGATGCATTATTTTGTAGGAGATATATACCATCCGGTGGAGTCCTACAGGACCAGGCACAAATAATCCCAATCAACAGTTAGTTCTAGCTAGGTAAATGCACTGCTTCTTCTGACACGTGTAGAAATAGGGGTAAAGTAAAGTACTTTCTATATGTGTTTGTGCATGCATGGTCGCTCGTGTTTGTTTCTGTCATTGCCTTGAAAGAGCAGATACTGTTATTCATACATTCCTTATGTTTCTCTTATTTTACATGGACCAGCGCTTCCTTTGACTCAACTATAAAACTATGGGACGTGGAACTAGGGAGACTTCTCTACAGCTTCAATGGCCACAGGTAAATATTCGATAATTTTAGTTTGTTGCATGGCTTTTTTTAAAAGAAATCTGTATGAGATCTATGAGGTGTGAATTACATTCCACAAAGAACAAAGAGGTGGTACTGATTTGTTTGCTTGAAAATGAGACTGTTGTGTTAGTTGTGATTCGTAATCTACTGACATTGTCTGTCTGGCAAATCCTAGGGATCCGGTATACTCCGTTGCATTCAGCCCGGATGGCGAGTACTTGGCCAGTGGATCTATGGATAAATGTATGCACATATGGTCCGTGAAGGAAGGCAAAATTGTAAAAACATACACAGGAAATGGCGGGATATTTGAAGTTTGTTGGAACAAGGAAGGTGACAAGGTCGCTGCTTGTTTTGCTAACAACGTAGTATGTGTTGTGGATTTCCGAATGTAGATTGTCAACTTTTATGTTCATTATCATTTTATTATTATTTTCAGTTGGGGTAGATTCCCATTCATCTTTAAATATGACAATGAAGGGCTTTCTTTCTATGTTATGTTGTACTAGTGAAATTTTTTATTTTTTATTTTTTATTTTTCACTTGTGCTATTGAAATTCGATCAGCATTTAAGAAGGTGAGGATTTGTTAAGAATGTAAAATCTTAACATAGAATATTCTAATATTTATATCTCAATATAATAGGTCTTAAATTTCTTCCCTGATTACCAATAAATTTTGGATTTTATACTTTAATATGATATCAAAATGGTTGATTTATTCAGGTGTCAATTAATATAATTAATTCATGAATTAAGTCTGAGGTCACACATGAGATGTATCAGAGAATATAATATGTTTTGACTGATAAGAACATAATGCAAGTGAAACAAAAACCAGGAAAAGTTAAAAATAAAATTGAGAAACTGTGATTTACAAACATAATTTCTACAGCGATTGAAAACACGAGGAATATTACAAGCTTTCACAACTCAACATTCCCAGCGAAAGCAACCAAATGCACTCAAAATGCTATCCTAACTTCTGTCATAATCAACAAATAATCTAGCAAAGTGAAAGAAATTTTAAAAGCTAGTGGGGACTATCTAAGCAACGCCATTGAGATTGAGACCCTACAAAAAATATATATCCAAGCATACATCACAACCATTCGTCTTGAAAAACTTGAGTTAAAAAAACCCCTCGTCTTGCAGCTAAAACCTACTCTTCTTGTACTTAAATAATCATTCTTTCAGATCTTCAAAATAGTCAGTCGGTACTTCTGGAGGAGAAGATATGGTTGCCACGCATTTGAACTGTATCCAAAAACAACACAATTCACATCATCTCTATTCTCTATAGCGTGGAAAATAAAAACAAAGTCTGTAGGTAAACAATTAGCCAAAGTACCTTATGTGATTTGTACTTTCCTCTTATCGATTGTAAAGTTGCTCCTCTTTTACTCCGATGCAAGTCATGTATGATAAGGACGCATTCCCTCAAATCAGCCGGTTTGTATCCGGAATATTGTTGCAGGGACAGAGTCTGCAGAAAGCAAGATTAACTCAGCAATTTCTTTACTTGTTTAACAATGTTACAGAGTCTCTAGCAAGTTCTTACCCAAGGATGAGACTTTGGCCGGATCATAAATCTTGCGAGAAATGTAACAGACGCAGCCACCAATGAGGGCAAAAACTTTACACACTCGTACTCTAACAAACTTAACTCTGCAAGGTAGTAGCCCAAAAATTCTAACTGCAGATTAGGATCCTGTAAAAAGAAAGCAAGTAATTAGCTTATTGTATGTATTACATATTTAGCTCAATTGGCTGTGAGAGAGAGGTTTTGCATACTTTGTAGCTCTCTTGAGTCACTCTAGCAAATCTCCTGCAAACCAAAATGAGAAGGAACATTAATCAGTCCGATATGTTTACAACGAAGCATCATAAGTGCACATGATCAAAAGTGCCCAAGCAAAAAGTATGCAAGCATTGCCCTTACTCCTTACCTTAGTATTGTCTTTATTGTAGGATTTCCCAAGTTGAACTTTAAGGCCTTGAGTATATCAGCCTCCATTTTTAACACCTATACAATGCATACAATGAACAAAAGTATTAATCTAAAGTACTACAATTATAAAAGCGAGGGTGATTTGAAAATATCAATCTAAGATGAGAAAGAGAATTATAAAAATCACCTGGTCCTTATCATATGTATTATCTGTGATGTAACAAAATTGTTCCACATGTGGAGGGCTGATCTCCTCATACTTTCTGTTTACCACATTAACAAGAAGATTACTATGTGGATTCATATTAGTAAGAAAATATTGACACAAAAATTTCATTGACTTGCGGACTTACGAGGCAATGAGCATTGAAGAAATACCCAGTAACTGAAGCCTTTTGCGGTCCAGAGCTTTCAAAGATAGGTATCTATCAATATACAGAACGGTGAGGAAAAGAGTGTCGGAAAGGAGCTTATATTCCTCTGCAACTTCCACCAACCAGTCTACTAAGATTCCCCTCATATTAGAAGTGATGTCCTTTTGAACCTTTGTCATGTAATCAGGTAAAGGCCTTCTATCTGGATCCGCCTGAATGTAAACCCATCATCACCATTAGCCTATTTGCTCAAACCCAAAAATGCTATAAACTCATGTACCAGTTTTGACTTCAGACCAAGACCCTAATGCCACCAACCATTCTCAAATACCAATACCTACCCATTATGAAAAATAAACCCCAAATTCCAATTCAAACAAAAACCCAAACACAGAGACGACAAAAATTCCTAAATAAAGCTTAGCTTTTGGCTAATGAGGAAAACCCAAAATAACATAACTAAACACCACAACGCTTCAGTCGTTATCCTAAATTCAACTTTCAGAGCAACGAGAACGCATTAAAAATCTAAATTTGGCAATACCCACCTACCATTTTTCCAATAAATTCCATTATCAGACAAGATAAATACGATTTGATAAGCCTTACCTCGAGCTTGTGAAGATAATCATAAATGTCACGAGCATAAGGCCCACACATCTGAGGGTCATCCGACGTGGAATCAATGTCCGGCGTCGTCGGCGTCTCCGTTTTCTTCTCGGGCAGTGCTTTCTTCGCCTTGGCTTTGGCTCCGCGTTTCTGCACCTGCGGCTCCACCGCAGAACTTTTGTTATTCGCCGGAACGACGGCGTTTTGGAGGATGTGGAGCTCTCCTAAGACCACGCGTTTCTTGGTGGCCGGCTGCTCTTGGCCCATGGCAGCTTCGGCCCTCCTCTTCATTGACCTTGTGACCCGGGCGCAGTTCTCCTTCTCCGCCATGGCCCTAGCGAATCTGTGAGTGTCGAGGTTTTGTTTGGGTTAGAGAGAGAGAGGTTCTGAGGGGTGAAAGAGAAAGAAGAGAGTTTTGTAGGGAGTAAAATGGGAGCGCCACTTTGAAAACTAAAGTTGGCGCCTTTGGGTTTCTGTTTTAATGTTTTCGGATCCATTTTGGTTCCCTGCTTTGAATTGCTTCAATTTTGAAATTTCGGAATGTGTTTGCCATTTATTTATTTTTTCACCGCCGTACATCTTTTCTCGCGTTAGGTGTGGTTTTTTATCTTTCCTTTTTTACCCTTATCGATAAAATAATTTTTTTTAAAAAAATTACACCTAATTTTTCACTAATTAATATAAATTTTACACATATGATTTTTTTTTTCTTCTAAAAATAAAACACTTTGCCAATACTTATTTATTTTTAAACAATTGAACATTTTAGTCCACCCTACACCCCCACATGTTTCATCGACCTCTTAAAAAATTTGAAAATTAGTAAGAGGTAAATTGAAAAGTTGAAAAAATACGAATATCTTAAAGATTAGATACGAGAAAGAAAAAAAAAAAGCAGTCTACGAACTTCGCTTTTTTTTATTTGTTACATACAAATTTTGCTTTCTAAAACACGAGGAAGAAAGAAAAAAGTAAATTTCCCCCTTTCCCGTATTTAACTTATGTCCTCACTTTGTTGTCATGATTCTCATTGTCAATCTCTTTCTCCCTATTTTTATACGTTTTTTTTATATACAGATGATAGTCTACTTTAATCTAATGAGGATGGGGATTCGAACTTGGGTGCAGAGTGAGGAGCAGATCCACTCTAGCTAACTCGACTAAGCCCATGTATGCGCATGTTTTTTTATATGTTTATGCTCAAAGAAGTTACATTACAGATTGTGTTTGAATGTTGGTCATTGTCTTTTGCATCACTTCTTAAGTTTTTAGCTTTCGATTAGTTTCCTATTTTCACATTCATTGATAGATCGAGAGATCAAAGATGGCATTAGTTTCCTATTCTTAATCTTGTTTCTCGTTGAATTAACTCACTTTCCTCCCCCATACCTTGTATTAATATTTCACATCATTCCAAATGATGCTTGCTAATTTCACTGCACAGTCCAAACTTAACCAGCAAGGATATAAAGGCAGCAAAACTTGCAAATTTCCATCAGGACACTGCCTGTAAAACATATGCAACCTGGGGTGGGGAGATAATTAGCTTTGTCAATGAGAGGCCTGATTGTGGAAAATCAGAGAGTTCTGAAAGTAACCATTCTCATTAATTATTAACATGACAGTGTTACAGTATATATAGGCTACAAGATTAGCCTTAAGCTAATGTAACTGATGTAACAAATATTTAACTTAAGTAACTATAACTAACAGTAAACTCCTAGTTAACCTAACCGCAAAAGTAAATTATAGCCGCTGGCCTGGCTGTTTCAGTTTGACAACAGCAACACTCTTCTTGTAAGTCATTTGTTACGTCTGTGGCTCAACAAATGCAACCCAGCTGTTAAGGTGATCAAGCAATCATGTATATTTACTTTGTTGGCACACCACGATTAGATGTCATGCACCCATCGTTGCACTTGCACCACATCGGGTGCAAAGTTTACAGCATCAGTCTGCTTAAGTGCGACCCTTTGGGTCAGCTCATTTGGTTCACCGCCAGGCCATACCCTGCATCACAGCTTACTCAGTTTTGATCTGCACTAGCTGAAGTGTATTTGCTGAATGATAATATAGAACCAGCTGCTTCCCAGAAATCCAACACAAAGGTCAATCAAGTGGTAATCTGGCGCAAAGCAGAATGATGCCCCATCCTCACCCAATAGCAATTGGCAAACATCATCAGCCCTCGCCATTAACCCTCCAATCAATCAAGCACACCCAATAAAACTTATATCCAGATCTTCCTATCACATTGGACAAGCCCTTGCCACAAGGATTGTACTTTTATGTTTTCAGATCTTCAAATAAAGAAGCTGGTATATCTTGAGGGCAAGGAGTGTGTGCCACACATTTGAACTGCGTTAAAGAAAAAGGACTCCATTAGAACCATGTTTTGCATTTCTAAAATTTGGAAAATAAGAAAAGGTCAAACCTACTTCTGATAAACAATACCTTAAGTTGTTTGTATTTCTCTTGAATAACATTCAAATTTCGTGCTCTTCTACCCAAGCACATGTCATGTATGGCAAGAACACATTCTTTCAAATCAGCTGCTTTATATCCAGTATACTGTTGCAGGGCTGGACACTGAAATGGATACGACTTAGTAATTGCTTTCAGACATTGAAATCCGCACAAGTAATTTATCAAACCCTTACCCAAGGATGTATTTTTGTTCTAGTCATAAATCGTGCCAGAAAAACAACTGATGCAGCTACCAGAGAAGGCAGGAACTTCACAAGTTTGTAATCCAATAAACTCAGCTCAGCAAGGTAGCAAACCAAGAACTCTAACTGCAAATTGGGAGTCTGTAAACCACACAAAACAATAAAGCAGTCAGTATTAGAGACTATAAACTTGGTAAGCCAACAAGTGTGTGTGAGAAGGCAAGGGGGAAGCTTACTTTGTAATTCTCTTGAGCAATATCAGTGAATTTTCTGCAAAAACAATTCATCAAAGGAACAAAAACAATCAGTCATAAGTCATTTAAGCTTGGCAAGTAATTACATTACCCAACCAAAACAGAGTGTTTTCATTGTCAGCACCATCCTTACCTTAAGAATGTCCGAGTAGTAGGATTGCCCATTTCAAATTTCAGGGACTTGAGAATGTCGGCCTCCATCTTGATCACCTTTACAACCCATCAAAAAATTTACTCTTAGTATAAAGCAAATGCATCTATCTGAGGTATAAATAGATCATTTTCAGGGGTAAAACCCCAAGTAAAACGTCAAATACCTCTTCTTTTTTGTATGTATTTTCTGTTATGTCACAGAGCTCATCCACATTTGGAGGAGTAATCTCTTCATATTTCCTATAAATTAAGAAATCATGAAAATGTAAGAATAATACTTATAGTAACTTCACATCATCATCAGAAGAAAAACAGTTGTACCAATCAGACAACAGATTCAAAGATTTGTGAGCTTACGATGCAATGAACATTGAAGCAACTCCCAGTAGCTGAAGCTTCTGCTTATTGACCACATTGATTGATAGATACTTATCAATATAAGAAACGGAGAGATGAAGAGTGTCTGGAAGGAGCTTATATTCCTCTGCAACCTCCACTAGCCAATCCACAAGGACCGCTCTCATATTAGCATTAGCATCTTTCTGAACCTTCTCCATGTAATCAGGCAACGGCCTTCTCTTTGGTTCCACCTAAAGAAACCAACCCATTATTCACGGTGAGCCTAATCCCCAATTGACAAAACAGTAAACCCTAATTTAGAGAATTCACAAAACTATACCCAGAATCAAAATTAAACCCAAAATCCTACCAATTGGATCTTAATGCTTTATAGCCAATTTCACTATCAAAATTGAAACCAAAAACCTTTTCCCAATATCAATTTTAAGTTGAAAAGTCCAAGACCGTTCTGATTATCAAATGAAGAAATCAAAATCTGAAGAATGGGATCTTTGTACCTCCATCCTACGAAGATAGGCATAAATGTCCGAAGCATAAGGTCCACACAGTTGCGGATCCTCAATGTCACGTGTTGCTACGGCTTTCTTCTCCTCCTTCTTGATTGCACAATTCGGTTTCTGCAACTCACCATAAGATTTGTGGTTGGCCGAAACGACGACGTTCACCAAGTTCGTAACATCTCCAAGCACCGCACGCTTCTTGGTAGCCAGCTGGTGCTCCTCAACCAAGGCGGCCATTGCCCTCCGCTTCGCCGCAGCACGAGTAGTGATGCGAGTGCAGTTCAGTTGCTCGGCCACGGTGTTAGAAGCCATTGCTCTGCACTGGTCGAGCTTTGGTCTTTACTTGCTGTCGTGGCTCGGGTTGGACTGTGAGAGAGATAGAGAGAGAAAGCAAAGCGCAGAGTTTGAGGTTTGAGACTCTCAGCGGTGATGGCAATATGTAGTGAGAATGAAAGTGAGGGTGCGTTTTGAAGTTTTGAGAGAGAAAATAGAGCGCCATGCTCAACTCTGCTTCGAAAATTTGTGCTTTTGGCGCTGTTTGATTTGACGTGAATTTTTTAGTTGCAACTAAAATTTGGAGATTTTGGATTTTGGAGCGTTTTATTTTGTTTTCTATTATTTTTGCAGCGTTTGGACGAAATTGAAATTTTGGGAATTAGTCTGTGTGGGGCCGGGTTTCCACATGACTTTTATTTTCGATGAACCAAATTTGAAAATTTTGGGTCGTTTTATTTTTGTTTAAAGTTAAAATTGCGCGCTTAGTAAATCTAAACTCTTTTTTTTTTTTGGTCTGAAAAATATTTGGGTTAAAAAGTTTGAAACTTTCGTATTTTCATTTGGGCCATACAGATTTGGTACTAGGCGGGTCCCTTTTTAGGTGTTTTGGTTTGGTACTTGGGCGGGATAGTTTTGGCTTCGCCTTTCTTTGGAAAGTGATATTTTGATTTCAATTTGGACTGTCAAATTTTAAGTTCAAACCAAAACATCAAAATCAAGTCAACCCAAAGCTCAAACAAAGACTAAACATTTTGCTTACCCTTCTGGTTGTTGATGTTTTTTTCTTTTCATTTAATCCACATATGGGCAATAACAATTATGCTTCATCCCATAAATATAATTTCAATGGTGTTATTTATGAAATGATTTCGTATGATACTAATTTGAGTTAGAATTTTTAGAAATTAATCGGTAAATAAGTGATAAGGAAACATTGTAATTCCTGTGGCATCATTGCACATTTAAAGACAAGTTGTGCATCTACCAAAATCACCATATTAACCAAGAAATTGCTTAGGTTTATTTCGTTTATTATATGGCAGGGACAGTCCTACGTCCATGCTAACATGGGCTATAGCCTAGGCGACTTGATATTTTATAGTCCAATATTAATACTCAGCCCACCAAGCACACCTCCACACACCCCATCCTAGTGATCCCACCCACAAAAAATCTCTTTTTTAACCTTTTCTAGTGTACATAAAACGTCAAATTTTTTTTTTTTCTTATAAATTTTGGCTACTTCTTCTCATTTTTATTTTCCAAGTTGGCTTGGATGGATTAAAATGGTTCTGTTTTTTTTTTTTCTTC